CACCCCCCCACCCGTTTCCAGCCCCCCTCCTCCACCAGCCCACACCTTCTCCCACACCTTCTGACCTTTGCAAAAAACGCTGATTTGGTAACTTGATCCCGTGCCTCTCTGCTGTGGGAAGCAGAGAAAAACAGGGTTGGGGAGGGGATGGGAGGGAGGGTGGCCGCCTAGGCAATACCCAGGCCCTGCTGCACTTTGTGTCGCCCAAACCCTCTCCAACCTCTGCCCCTGCCCGACCTCTGTCCCTGCCCTACTTGCCCAGGGACCTGGCTCACTCTCAGGCCCTCACCTCAGGATTCACTGCTTCTGCCCAGGGGTGCGGGGGGTGCACCAGAGTTGGGGGCAGAGGGGCAGGAGTGCTGTTACTTTTCCTCTGCCCTTGTGGGTCCCATCAGAAGTCTGGAGGTTGCCCAAGGATTGTGGATCCTGGGTTGGGGGCAATGGAAGAGTCCAGGCTCTGGGGAGTGAGGGAACCCCGTTGGGCTGCAGCACCCGGCTTCTGCAACTCTGCAGTGACGCAGTCTCTAGTCCTGGCCAGGACAGGGGTCAGAGGGGGTAATGTGGAAGCTGCTGAGAGAAAGGGACAGAGAGCCAGAGAGGGGGATGAGTCCCAAAAGTAAGGGGACAGAGACCCAAAGAGAGAGATGGAGAAGGAGGTGAGAAATGGGATAGCGGTCCAGGGAGGGGACAGAGAGAAAGAGACCCAGAGGGAGAGAGACCGAGAGGACAGGTAGCTGGAAAGAGAAAGGGCAAAGGGGGGGAAATACCCGGTTGGGAGGAAAAAGAGTTTGGGAGAGAAGTCACCAGAAACAAGAGGGAGGAGACAGACCTAGGTTAAAGGGCAGAGACCGAGACGCGGGGGGTGGGGAGATAAGGCGGTGGGAGGGAAGGCAGAGATTTGGAGGGGACAGAGACCCAGGGACAGGGCGGGTAGAGACCCAGAGAGAGAAGCACATCCCTGAAGAAAAGAGACTGGGAGGGAGGCGGAGGACTGAGACACAGCCAGAGGAGAGGAGACTGAGGCCTAGAGAGAAAAGGGGCCAAAGCTCAGAAGGGGCAGATCTGAGACTCAGAGGAAGGAGAGTCTTAGAAAAGAGGAGCCAGAGCCTCTGAGGCGTGGGGACAGAGACGGCGGGTCAAATACTCAGAGAAAGAGGAGAAGGGGGCATCGAGAGACACAGAAACGGGAGCGAGGCTGGGGGGAGAGGCGATACAAACCGGCCGCCGCACCTGCAGCCGGAGGCGGGCGGGCCAGA